TTATATTTATAAATATCGCTCTTTACGGTTGCGCGAGCCCAACCTTTATAAGTAGGATTAAAAACTTTTCTAATATAATGCAGAAAGCTAGGGTTAGAAGGAAAACTATAGGGTAAGCACATAACGGTAACCATCTTTGCTAATTCTTCACGATCTTTATTTGGATTGTAATATAAAATACCACAGGTCAAAGTGTTAATTCCTGGTTGAACTATATTTGAACCTGTACTAGGGTTAACCGTAGTATCTACACTTGTCCCCTCTAACTGCGCTTTCATTTGTAAAAATGTAGCTTTATCTCTAGGGTGTGTTTTTGTGCCTAGCCAAACTACCCGTACCGCTACGGTCTCCAGTAAATTTATGCGCCAGCAAACTCCCACAAGTTTTACACTTAGCCTTATTTTGTTCTCTTAATTGAGTAAAAAAATTCCGAACAAGTGATGTTTCGGGGCGTTTAGAAGGTTGTCTATTAAAAGTAGGGGTTTCTATAGGTCGGTCGGGCGGGGCATCAGTTGGGTTATTAACAGGACTAGTAGGTGTATCATCTAAATCCGGTTGGGCTTCATCTACATCATCATTTTCATCATCATTTTCAAAAATAGTTTCATTAGGATAAAGAGCATTCATAACTTCATCATTTAATTGTTGACCTGGTGCAACATTATGGCAAAATTCACTATCTGAAAATTGAAAAAAAGGGTTATCACTATCAAGAATAATAGGTGCAGGAGGACGGGTAACAGGTCTGGGTTGGGGAGCCGGGGGAAGGGTAGTAGGTTGGCGACTACTTTCACCAATTTTAGATTTTTCCTTACCACCAAATATTTTTTTCAAATAAAATGCCATATTAATTAGCCTTAAAAATTAATATGCAAACTAAAACACACAAAAATATATTCTTAAAACTTAAGAGTTGGAACGAGTTTACCGAATTGCCGAACAACTTCTTGAAAATTGAAAATCGTTGAAGACTTGAATACTTCAATTCACCAACTTCACAATTTTTACGAAATTGCAAGAATAAAATAAGCAATTATAGAAGATAATTAGATATAGATTGAGAGAGATTGATGAATTTGTGAGTAAAAATGAAAGAATGAGGGGGTATTTATAGTTGAGAATTGGGAAAAAGTGTAATTATATAAAGTTTGGGAGCCAAATGGCTATTTTTTAAAGTCCCAAACGGCTCTTTTTTGATGGCCAACAGCTAGATTTTAAAATCTGACCGTCGGTAATTTTTTTTAAATTTTTTTTTTTTAAATTATAGCCGTTGAGGCCCGTTAGACCCGGTTGAACCGGCCCAGGCCTGCCTGCCGGTCCCAGGCTTAGCGGTCCCGGGCTCGTGGGCTAAATGTGCAAGACCGGCCCGCTACGCGCTTGGAGTACCATTTGGGACCGGCCCACTAAGACCGGCCCAATAGGCCCGTTTGGCCTGTGGTCCTGGTCCGGTCCCGGCCCACAGTGCAGCATTAGGCTACTCTGATAGGATTTCTGTCGAAGTCAACTAGTAGCAATGTTGTGTCTAAGATCTAACATCTTTTTTATAAATATAAATTATGGAGTAATGTAAAAGTTAATATGAGATAAAATTAAATTTAAAAAATAAAATATCTAACATCTTTTTTATAAATATAAATAATGGAATAATGTAAAAGTTAATATGAGATAAAAATTAAATTTAACTTCTTATGTATCAAAAAATTAAAAATTTATAATTTTGAAAAAATATTATCGAATTTTTATCTCTCTAAAAGTTAATAATAACAGAGTAATAAACTTCACCAATATTGTACTTTAAAATATTATTTCTTATTATAAAATTGCTTTCAAATAGAAAAATAATAAAAACTTTATAATTTTGAGAGACATAGAACTAAGATCTGAAGACTATAATAAGTGAAAATGTAAATTCTGGCTGTCTACTCATAAGAAATATTCTCAATTAGTAAATATGCACTAATATAACTCATTCATTTGGGTTATTCTCAATCTTCATAATTCTTTCTATAGATGAAATAGAACTTTAAAAATTTAGTTTTTAAAGAATTTTAAGGGTTAATAGTGCTAATTAGGAAATTCGACGTATGATTTGCGTAAGGAACTGCTAGGCAAGCCTCACACGTTGAGCATTAGACGTGTTTCGGGCACACAGTCGAGCGCTTGGCACGTAAGCCACATAAAACTAAGCCTCACACGTAAGGCTCAAGACGTTTTGATAGTGATCCGCCCTGGCGCCCAAGTAAATCTTTTAAAACACTAATATACACAGACAAAAATTAGGCTAAAACTGATAAGAATAAAGGAGTTGGGCCAGATATTATAAGCTAGAAGCCCGACTTGTATTGGCTATAACTTTCTCTTATATGTAAAAGAAAAGGATTTTTTTCCTAACTATACCATATATGAAACCTTATTACCAAATATGTGCATAGTATGTATATTACCCGCCCAGTCCACAGTTTATCTACAATTTATATGCCATTCGTTATTTAGGCAGAATCTGCCATTTTTAGCGCGCGAAAAATCAGCCACAGAATCTGGGATTGATTTATTCCACATTAAATTCAAAATTTTAAACGGAAATGAGATCTCGAAGCTGCGTAATTTTGAAACGGAAAGGAGATTTCTGTTCTTCATCTTCATCTTCATCCGTTCTTCCATATATTTTCCACCATTGATAGCCATTAAAAAGCTTGAAAGCTTTGAATTCAAATTTGGTTTTTCAAAAATTATTATTTGTTTGGATTGGGTGTTGTTGAAAATAATCGGGAATATGATTTGGAGTTTATATCTCAATTTTGAGGGGTTTTGGTGAAGATTAGACGTGATTTTGACTGAATTTCAGATTGAAACTCGAAGAAGAAGAAGAAGAAGACATATTTCTAGAAATTGTAGATAAATTGTAGAATTGTAGATAAATTGTAGATTGGGAAGACTAAAACTTCTACAAATCTTCTACAATTATGTCGAAAATGCCAATAATGCTATAATTGAAATGGGAATTGGGATATTAAAATTCAATGTATCCAGTTTGTAGATATCTTGTAGATAAATTGTAGATTATTTGTATTCTGATTGTAGATGCATTGTTTTCTGTTTTCACAAATCCAAAACGACTAAAGCTTCTACAAAATCTTCTGCAAAAAACAGTCTACAATTTATCTACAATTTTTCTAATTTTTCTACAATTTATCTACAAAAGGAAGTATGTTTTGTTTATGAAAATTAACTATAGATCTGAGTGCAGTTCTTGGATGTAGAAGACAATACTATAGAATGCACAGACCTGTGATGAAGTCATTCTCATTCAAAGGTGTAACTTACCATCATTATAAAAAATAAATTACACAAAAACTTCGAATACCAACATTTGAATCTCAGCGAAAGCAAGCAAAATTAGGTAATTTGTTTCATTTGCTGTGATTTGCATTAGCCGGACATGACAAATAGGAAGAAAAAGCAAAGAAAGAAATTCATAGCTTTTTTAAGTTACGGCTGAAGGGTCAGAAAATAATTGCACCCTTAATTATAGCGCCTAATATAAATGCACCCTTAATTATATCCCTAATTTGAATTATGGTATATAAATGGTAATTTGGTATACTGAAATGTAATTAACACAAACCTTAAACATTGAGGGTAATAAGGTTTCATATATGGTATAGGAAGGTAAAAAAAAATACATACTTGAAGAATTAATCTAAATAGCTATCCTTTGACCGTTTAAACTAAAAATAATCGGTAAATATATAATATGCATAATATTATATAATAAGTGTATAATTTTATATATCGGCTAAATAATAAATAGTGAAACCGGCAGCTATTTCTATAAAAATTCCTAAATACTTGAACTCGCAAGACTAGTCAAGGAAGGTGGTCCATAAGCTTTAGGATAAAGAATTAAAGTGAGCCCCGTCACAGGCTCATGCGGGTACCTTTTTGACAAAAGCATGTGTCATTTATTGGTCCAACTTTTAATGGACTTTCAAGAGTATATCTAAAATAAAATGGCCAAACATTAAAGAAAAACTTTTAAAAACCATTACGTTTTAGTGGTTATTAACTAGTTGTAGCTACCATTTACTATATTACTTCCTATATCTATGTTTTTAGAATTTTTAGAGTGTATTCGATGTATTTAAGCTACTGTATTCATGAATACAGTAGCATTTCTAGGCGTGAAACAGGGGATTACAGTTAGACAGATTTTTGTATTCGAGTGTATTCGACTGTATTCATGGCGTGAAATATGGGATTACAGCTGAACAGATTATTGTATTCGACTGTATTCGACTGTATTCACGGCGTGAAACATGGGATTACACCGTTTTTAAACGGAAAGTGAATCAATTAACATAATAGACTCCTAATATAACTCAACAAACTCAATTATAACATATAAATTTTGTATTTTCAGTTATAAAAAAGATTCTCAACCGAAAAACACCCAAAAATATAGCAATTTTCAGAGAAATTGTATAATACATCTGAATACATAAATTATATTAATTAAAAAAATATATGAATACATTCATGGAATATAGCGAGACATTGAATACAATGAAATACATAGAATACAACGGGATACATTGAAATACAATGAAAAAAAGACAATGAATACAATGAAATACATAGAATACAACGAGATACATTGAAATACAATGAAAAAAAGACAATGAATACAATGAAATACAGCGAGATACATTGAAATATATTAACAGAAAATACGAGTTCCATTACAGCGAGAAAATATATGTCAAAATCTTTCCTTCTTCCATTGCTTTTTCAAGAGCAATTGTCTGTAAATGGCGACAATTTCACTGTCTTTTGTTTGGCTGTGTCGACTTTGTGTACTCTTTTAGCAAATAAGAACATTAGACCTGAGAGAGAAATTTCACGACTTCCTCTCCTTCTTCAGCGAGATTGAAATTCGACTGTGAATGAGATTGGGAGGCTGAGGGCGGCGGTATCAATGAATAACGGCCACGGTCGAAACGATGACGGTGGCAATTGCTCCAGCGTCCGGCGGAGGAGAAGACATCGGGAAGTATAGAGAGAGAGAGGGAGAATAGATATGGGGTAGGGGATAGGAGAAATTTGAGGGGATATGAGAGAGAAAAATAATACAAAGCTTATTTTATGGCTTAAGGGTAGGAGGTAACCATAAATAGATATTTGGCAATAAAAAATTAAAAGGTAGCTATGGAATATAATTTTTTAAAAGGGTATTTATTTAAAATAAATAAGGTATCAACCTTTGCTAATGGAGGTAACTAATCCAACATTAAAAGAGGGACCAACATATTTTGAGGGGAAAATTACACAAATAGCCATTCTATGGCTGCTATCAGGGATGTAGAAAGGAAACCGACAAATCACACTAAATCGATAATTCGAGTCAAACCGAGAAAAAAATCTGACTAAATTTGGTTTGATTTGGTTTAGTATTGGAAAAAAAACCAAACTAAAATATATCCACTTTTGAGCTCGCTATTTAATATATCCACAGTTTACAATATATTTAAAGATCAGCCAATTAGCCAATTCATCCAAACTTCAGGACTAAGTATCCTAAATTTGGAAATTCAGGATTTAGTGTCCTGAATTTTGAGCTGCTAATTTGAAATTCAGGACTAAGTGTCCTGAATTGTCCTGAATTTCTGAACTAATTTAAAATTCAGGACATAAGCTTTGAACTTCAGGCCACAATTTTCGAACTTTAGGACATGATGTCCTGAATTTCTGAACTACTATTTTAAAATTCAAGACATAAGAGTCAAACTTCATGACACAATTTTCGAACTTTAGGACTGTATGGGTCAGAATCCGATCTCACGGTAATTAACGGAGTTAATCTCGTATTGAGCTAATCCATAATTAATAAGTGGTATGGCCTCTTATTCATAACAGGATTCGACTCTTGTTCGATTTAATCTACGAAGGCACGACCCAGTCATTCTCCTATGGGGACGGAACCTCAGCGTGGCCACGGCCATTTATTGCCAACTCACGAAGCTCACATCTATAAATACTAAGAGTGGAAGCCCTAGAAATGGGGCTGCTTCTTCACCACTATTGAAAAAAGAGAGAGAGAAGAGAAAAATATACCCATCTTATGGGAAGAGAAAACACCATTGTAAGGCTCTGAACCTCTTCATGGAGAGGCAGACCAAACCAATATTATCAATAAAAGCTGTTAAGATTTCTTCCCCTAACCTTGAGTACTTATTTTCATGTTCTTCGCTTAGTCTGATGGATTATTACGATTTGCTATGATTTTCCCGTAACTTATTTGTATTGTTTTGCACTCATAAAGCACATGATAACTTTTGACCAAACAATTTGGCGCCGTCTGTAGGGATTTCATAGCAAAATCGCGTAGTTCTTCCATGGACCAAAAGGAAAGAAACGCCGAAAAAGGAAGAACAACCCCGCTTGAACAAACCAAAGCGGCATATCAGGCCGATGGAACTCGAAGATCTCGAATCGAGATCCAGTTCCTCTGTCTCTCATCTATCGGATGGTACAAACAAAAAGAAGCAGCCCCGGATAAACAAGCCAAAGCGGCATATCAGGCCGATGGAACTCGAAGATCTCGAATCGAGATCCAGTTCCTCTGTCTCTCATCTATCGGATGGTGCAAACAAGAAGAAGAAACCATCCCCCCTCTCTTTTGGGGAGAATCTTCGTAAGAGATCTCCCACATCCCTGATAAGGGCTCCAGCCGGAAACCAGCACGGAGGAATCTCAAATCAAGAATCGCTTCGAGACAGCCTACATACCCCGGTTGGGAAGATAACGATTAAGCTGCTCAAGATCTCGAATCAAAACCGAGCTTCAGCTCCCAAAAACCCACGAACCAAAAAAGTTCAACTACGGTTGAACCAAGACAGGCTATGCGCCTTCACCAACAGGTTCAACTACGGTTGAACCGGGACTCAGGCTATGCGCCTTCACCAAAAAAGTTCAACTACGGTTGAACCGGGACTCAGGCTACCCGCCTTCACCAAAAAAAGTTCAACTACGGTTGAACTAAGACAGGCTATGTGCCTTCACCAAAAAAGTTCAACTACGGTTGAACCAAGACAAGCTATGCGCCTTCACCAAAAAAGTTCAACTACGGTTGAACCGGGACTCAAGATACCCGCCTTCGCCAATTAGTTCAACTACGGTTGAACCAAGACAGGCTAAACGGCTTCACCAAACAGTTCAACTACGGTTGAACCAAGACAGGCTATGCGCCTTCACCAACAAGTTCAACTATGGTTGAACCAAGACAGGCTATGCGCCTTCACCAAAAAAGTTCAACTACGGTTGAACCGGGACTCAGGCTATGCGCCTTCACCAAAAAAGTTCAACTACGGTTGAACCGGGACTCGGGCTATGCGCCTTCACCAACAGGTTCAACTACGATTGAACCGGGACTCAGGCTATGCGCGTTCACCAAAAAAGTTCAACTACAGTTGAACCGGGACTCAGGCTACCCGCCTTCGCCAAAAAGTTCAACTACGGTTGAACCAAGACAGGCTATGCGCCTTCATCAAACAGTTCAACTACGGTTGAACCAAGACAGGCTATGCGCCTTCGCCAACAAGGTCAACTACGGTTGAACCAAGATAGGCTATGCGCCTTCACCAAAAAGTTCAACTACGGTTGAACCAAGATAGGCTATGCGCCTTCACCAAAAAAGTTCAACTACGGTGGAACCGGGACTCAGGCTATGCGCCTTCACCAAAACAATTCAACTACGGTTGAACCGGGACTCAGGCTATGCGCCTTCGCCAACAAGTTCAACTACGGTTGAACCAAGACAGGCTATGCGCCTTCACCAAAAAAGTTCAACTACGGTTGAACCGGGACTCAGGCTATGCGCCTTCACCAAAAAAGTTCAACTACGGTTGAACCGGGACTTCGGCTATGCGCCTTCACCAAACAGTTCAACTACGGTTGAACCAGGACTCAGGCTATGCGCCTTCACCAAAAAAGTTCAACTACGGTTGAACCAGGACTCAGGATACCCGCCTTCGCCAATTAGTTCAACTACGGTTGAACCAAGACAGCCTAAACGCCTTCACCAAACAGTTCAACTACGGTTGAACCGGGACTCAGGCTATGCGCCTTCACCAAAAAAGTTCAACTACGGTTGAACCGGGACTCAGGCTACCCGCCTTCGCCAAAAAGTTCAACGATGGTTGAACCAAGACAGGCTATGCGCCTTCACCAAACAGTTCAACTACGGTTGAACCAAGACAGGCTATGCGCCTTCGCCAACAAGGTCAACTACGGTTGAACCAAGACAGGCTATGCGCCTTCACCAAAAAGTTCAACTACGGTTGAACCAAGACAGGCTATGCGCCTTCACCAAACAAGTTCAACCACGGTCGAACCGGGACTCAGGCTATGCGCCTTCACCAAAAAGTTCAACTACGGTTGAACCAAGACAGGCTATGCGCCTTCGCCAAAAAGTTCAACTACGGTTGAACCAAGACAGGCTATGCGCCTTCACCAAACAGTTCAACTACGGTTGAACCAAGACAGGCTATGCGCCTTCACCAAAAAAGTTCAACTACGGTTGAACCAGGACTCAGGCTACCCGCCTTCGCCAATTAGTTCAACTACGGTTGAACCAAGACAGGCTGTGCGCCTTCACCAAACAGTTCAACTACGGTTGAACCAAGACAGGCTATGCGCCTTCACCAAAAAGTTCAACTACGGTTAAACCAAGACAGGCTATGCGCCTTCACCAACAAGTTCAACTACGGTTGAACCGGGACACAGGCTATGCGCCTTCACCAAAAAAGTTCGACTACGGTTGAACCGGGACAGGCTATGCGCCTTCACCAAAAATGTTCAACTACGGTTGAACCGGGACTCAGGCTACCCGCCTTCACCAATAAGTTCAACCACGGTTGAACCAAGACTCAAGCTATGTGCCTTCGCCATTAAATCCAACGAGCTCGACTTCGCTCGAACTACAAGGATGGACGCCTTCGTCCTCAACTTTAGAAAGTTCAACCACAGTTGAACCGAGATTCAGGCCAAACGCCTTCATCTGTGAAAGCAAAATCACGACCTCCAACGAATTGAAGCGCAGGATAGGCACCATCGCCATTCAAGTAAGTACTCCCAACTCAAACTAAGATTGGGGACACGTAAAGTCCGGCCCCGGTCAAACTACAAGGCCGCGTTTCTGTCATAACGGCCGACAGTTCGACCGTGCCCGAACTGGGACTAAGGCTAAGTTCCGCTATCGTCAAACTACAAGGCCGCGTTTCTCTCATAACGGCCGACAGTTCGACCGCGCCCGAACTGGGACTAAGGCTAAGTGCCGCTATCGTCAAACTACAAGGCCGCGTTTCTGTCATCACGGCCTACAGTTCGATCGCGCCCGAACTGGGACTAAGGCTAAATGCCGCTATCGCCAAGCAACGGCTCCGACTCGCTCACCCCGAGTCGAAGAAGAAGAGTCGTCAACAATTAAAAACTAACATGCCAACCAGATTCGAACTCGAAGGCAAATCACCCCTTCGAGCGCATGCAAAGAAAAATCTAAGGGGGAAAAAGAGGAGATACAAAATAGACACAAGGCAAATAACGGAAAGGAGATCTCATTTATCTACAAAGTTAATTACGGGTCTTCCCCGCTTACACCCGGCCAAGGCCGATCAATACAAGGAAAGAGAAAAGAAAAACAAGAAAAAATGCATATCTTTTTACTCGGCGCCATCCGCGCCACCATCTGCACCAGCGTCAGCCTCTGGCGTCGCCGCGTCAAAACCACAGTCGGTACGGGCCTCACTAGCCTTTTGACGCGCTCCCTCGAAAGCAGCTTCGGTCACGATACCGGCCTCCCATAAATTCTTATATACATCATGTTGGGCCTCGGCAAAGACCCAAAGTTTGCGAGCCTGGCTAGAAGAAGCGGCTTGGTCCCGTAGGCGCTGATTCTCTTCTTCTAAGGCCGTGATCCTGTCCGCCATGACTTGGGCGTCCTGCTCAAAGACACCGATCCGCTCCTCGAGACTCGCTTCTCTAAAGGCCGCTGTA